TAAACTTCATTACGGATGAATTATCACAAACCCTGATGCTTCCACGGAGAAAACATAACATTGAAATTCAAGGTATCGTTAAGTCATCTACAAACATCAAATATACGACCTCTACCAATATAAAATCGCAAGTGACAGGATTCGAATTACCACTCACGCTTTGTATAACATCGCATATAGCCTATCAGCCTGAACCGGAAATAGATACTTCGTCTTGGGACATCCCATCCAATATTGTGCTTGCAGACAATCAATTTTACAAATCTAAAAAAATCGACTTGCTTTTAGGAACGGAAAGTTTTTTCAGTTTACTTTCAGTGGGCCAAATCAAACTTGGTGATAGTCTACCAATTCTGCAGATAACGCTTTTGGGTTGGGTCGTTTCTGGACGCTATCGTGCGAGCTCTAACACGCTTAACACCAAATGTTTACTTGCCTGTGAAGAGTCCATAGACTCAAGACTGATGGCAGATTGAAGAAGTCACTTCAAAGGCGGACATGTGGACTCGTGAGCAACACAGTTGCGAAAAACTTTATAACGACACCGTGACTCGGAGCCCAAATGGTCGAATTGTCGTAAAACTGCCGTTCAAGGACGATCCTGCATGCTTGGGTGAATCGTATACCACAGCTTTGCGTCGTTTTAGTGCACAAGAACGTCGTCTGCAACGCTCTCCTAACCTCAGGACACAGTACGTCGAATTCATGGACGAGTATGAGAGACTAGGCCACATGCAGGTAGCTCTGAGCCCGAACTTAAACCAGCCTCACTACTACATCCCCCATCACTGCGTTCTGAAGCCAGGTAGCACAACAACAAAGCTAAGGGTTGTCTTCGACGCATTTTGTCAGACCACTACTCAAACCTCATTTAACGACATCCAAATGGTGGGTCCTATCATACAAAGCGAGCTTGTAGTTCTTTTGCTCCAATTTCGTTTACATCGCTTTGCGCTCACAGCAGAAATCGTTAAAATGTATCGGCAGGTGCTGGTCAGTGAAGAACATCGAATGTTCCAGTACATCTTGTGGAGGAGTTCGCCTAACCAGGAAATTCAAACCTTCCAGCTTAATACGGTCACATACGGAATGGAGGCCGCACCATACCTCGCGGTCCGTAGTCTGCATCACCTTGCTGATCAACATGCATCGCAATTCGTCGTTGGTGCAAATGTCGTCAAGTCATCTTTCTACGTTGATGACCTGCTGTGCGGTGATGACTCGCGTACGGACCTTTCGCGAGTAAAACACGAGGTAACGGAGTTGCTAAAATTAGGTGGACTTGACCTGGCAAAGTGGCATTCAAACCATAAGCGTTTCAGGGGCGAACACTCTGTCAAAGACTTTAATCTCGATACCTCAATAACTAGCACTCTTGTTCTGACATGGGATCAGACACATGATAATTTTTTATTCTCGTTTCAATCTAGGCAGCCTACAAATAGTCGTGTCACGAAAAGGACAATTCTATCTACCGCATCGTCGCTCTTTGATCCACTTGGCCTCCTAGCACCAGTGATCGTCACTGCCAAAATCCTGCTTCAGGAAATGTGGTTGCTGAAACTTTAGTGGGACGAGTCTGTTCCTCAAAATATCCAGTCGGCTTGGGAAAAATTCGTCAACAATCTTTCTGATCTGGCTTCAGTTAAGGTTCCAAGGTACTGTTTATCTACCAACATGCAGTCTCTTCAGATACATGGGTTTTGTGACGCGTCGATTCGTGCTTACGGCTGCGGACTATATACACGAACCGTAGACAACACTGGCAATGTGCGCGTTCGCCTTCTTACGGCAAAATCACGAGTGGCCCCAACTAAACGACAGTCACTGCCAAAACTGGAACTTTGCGGTGCACTCCTTCTTGCTCGACTTTTCACAAAAATCAAAGCAATTTTCACTAACTATAGGTTCGAAACTTATCTTTGGACAGACTCGCAAATTGTTCTTCACTGGCTCAAACTACACTCGGCTACGCTATCAGCTTTCGTTGGCAACAGGTCATCGGAAATCCAGGATTTGACTGTGGACGCTCATTGGCGACATGTGCCAACCAAAAGCAACCCAGCTGACATTGCATCGAGAGGAAGCACGGCACTTGAACTTGCTAGCTCAATTTGGCTCACTGGACCTGCATTTCTTTACGAAGACGTAAGCAAATGGCCCACACAAATGAGTAACAACGTAGACATGGCGGTTGTCAAGTCTGAAATGCGGAAATCGGCATTTAAAGTAACTATACCCACTAACTATGTTCTTGAAATCCTCGACAGGTACAGCTCTCACACCTTGGCAGTCACACTGGTCGCTTTAATGCTCCGATTTTGCACAAGGCTCAAGAAACGAGACACCGACACTGTAAATGGACCACCCACTGCCAACGAACTACACCGCGCTTTGTTATGCATTGTTTGGAACGTGCAACAATACCACTTCACTAACGACATTCAAATGTTGCAGAGAGAGTCAACGACAAATGGCAAGCTACGAAATCTGAACCCGTTTTTGGAGGTTACCCATGGTTTCGAAATACTGAAGGTTGGCGGTCGACTTGAACTGGCTGATATTTCTGAATCACAAAAACATCCCCTTTTGTTGCCCAACAAATGCGAATTCGTGACACGATATGTTAAACATCTGCACATCAAAAATTATCACGCAGGACCTAAAGCGTTGGTATCTTTGATTCGCCTACAGTTTTGGATAGTTAACGCACGCGATATCGCTAGACGCGTCGTCCGATCCTGTATCCATTGTGTGAAATACAAGCCGAAACTACTCCAGCACATGATGGGAAATCTACCAGTTGAGCGCTTAACACCGTCGCGCCCGTTCGCTCGCTGCGGAATCGATTTTTGTGGACCCTTCAACGTCTATCTTCGTATTATAGGCAAGGCACCCTATAAAGCGTACGTAGCCATCTTCGTGTGCTTTGCAACAAAGGCGGTTCACATCGAGGTCGTCTCTGACCTATCCACGGATGCTTTTTTAGCATCGCTTAAGCGAATGATTGGAAGGAGAGGTCTTCCATCTGACATTTTCTGCGACAATGCAACCAACTTTGTCGGCGCTTGCAGAAAACTTGCTGAATAAAAACATTCCTTTTCAAGAAACAAAATCAAGATATCATCGTTAACTATTGTGCTAATGAATTTGTTAATTTTCATTTCATCCCTCCTAGAGCACCTCATTTTGGCGGCATTTGGGAAGCTGCAGTCAAGTCAGCCAAAGGTCATCTCAACCGCAGCGTCATGAATGCCAGACTGACGTATGAGGAGCTCACTACAGTCCTAGTGGAAATAGAAGCGGTTCTTAATTCTACGCCAATATCACCGCTCTCATCTGACCCCAGTGATTATGAGGCTTTGACTCCAGGTCATTTTATTACGGGCAGTGCGTTGAAATCACTTCCGGAGCGCGAAGTAGCAGCCAACATCAACCACGTCGACAAATGGAGTCAACTTCTAGCGCGAACAAAGTGGACCACTGACCACGCAAATATCGCAAAGGACGCCATGAATCTCGTCCATGAGGATAATGTGCCACCACAACGATGGCAATTGGGACGAACTATAAATGCCATACCAGGAAAGGATACCAGAGTTAGAGTGGTCGACATACGAACGTCGAGGGGAACCAACCGTCGCCCGATTCACAAGGTTGCAGTACTACCGATTTGAAAGTCCTTTCAACGGGGCCGGGATGTTGGGTCACCTAACGAGACACCCTGCAAGCTGTCTTAGGTTAAGAACACCTGAACACTCATTTACTTAATACTCATTTAAATAATTGCATTCAATAACTCCAATGTTATTACATTCACGCTCACTCTCAATTGTACAAAGAGATATACACACATTTACATACTTATATGTCAATCTAACACAACTAATTGTACTTATACATATGTATATACTACGTATGCATGCTTACATCCATATGTACATAAATATTTAAATTTAAACTCTCATTGGAATTTCACTGTTGTATCACGCCACCGCCTACTACTGTTATGTGAATATACATACATACTAACATCATATTTAGCTTGAATTACATATAATATGAGTTGAGAACATAAAATAAATTAGTCTTCTGTTGTAAGGGTGGGTAACTCAGCAAATTTATAGGAGTTGACTCAATGACTCCAACTCACTTTAAGGAGTCAGCTCATTCAACTAACTCATTTGACTCTTTGTATGTTATGTAGCGTTTTTGCTGCATTTAAAATGCAACATTTAGCACTTTCGAACATATGTTTTCGAAGAGCGTTCATGCTATAGCATTTAGCAAATGTACATTTACGCGAGTTCGAAATCGTATGCTTTTGACAAACAGCCGTGTTCCAGTCTCTTATTTAGATCCCTATATATTACGATTAATTCTCACACAGAAGATAATGTGCAAAAACCCTACTGAAAAGGAAAAAATAAATTTTAAACCTACAAAAACTTGAATTGTTTTAACCATAACCGAACATTTGTTTATGTATATATTCATTTGTGGGTGCTGTCAATTAAAATTTCCTCACTTAATTAGGAAACAAAACAAACAGAGTTGATCATAAATTGATCCTGATTTCTATCAGCATCACATCGATGTTGAATTTGCTTAACTTTTCTTTATCCAAATATGTAATGTAAAATAAAAGAAATCTCGATCGACGATCACTGAAACGCAGCTAGCAACTGTATACTCGAAAAAGCAATGCTGCCACTTTTTCTCTTTAAACCATGTTCGAATCGTGGAAATTTTGGAAGATCACAGGGTTGCTTTTAGCATTTAGATTCTTAATGCAAAAATGGAGTTGCATTTAGGTGGCGAATTTTGTATGGTTAAATGTACATTTAGAGTAGCATTTAGAGCTAAATGCGCTAAATGTGCTTTTACGCGTAAGCAAAAACAGCCCATTACACTCATTCGTATCGTAGACTCGTTTTGAGGCATAGATGCGGTATAGCGGCCGTTGAGATAAAACAAAACTTTAAAGTGGGCGTGGTCAGCTCCTTTCTACTGATTTGAAAGGTGTAATTTTTTTTGTGTGCAAATTAATAGGGCGGTGCTAGGGGGAGGGTAAAGGTGGAATTTTCAATATTTTCAAAAGCTTATATTTCGAAACCTATTGTACCGAATTTCAAAATGTGGATATGGTTGGAAAGGCAATTGATTTGATATGCACATCTTTATATATCTTATACATACATATTTCGAGAAAAACTAAAAAAAAAAAAGAAATTATAAGAATTTGTGAGATTTGACATAACACCCGCAATACAAAATACATGTGGTTGTTCTTGTTGTATTCTTGCCACCACCTTGTATAAATTCGCCTCGTGCAAAAACAAAATGCAAGACTTTGCCATGCTAAACACTGTGGCGAAGCGAGAGAGTTATATGGACAAATATGAGCCACTATGATTCAATTGATTCATGTGAGCCCTACGGCATCAACTGAGTTACTGAGTTACATTTTTTTTGGACAGGGAGTCTGAGTTACCGATTCACTTATAGGAATCAACTCAATAACTCAACTCTGAGTTGAGTTACCCACCTCTATTCTGTTGACCACCAAGACGTGTTAAGTTCATTTTCGGTAACTTTGCTCATTTCGCATATTTTAATTGCACAGCTCAAATGAGATAATAAATCTTTGCTAATACGGTTTGTTAAATTGTGGTTTAGAAAAACGCTTCTTTAAACCCCCTACAACACCTTTTGCTTAATTGCGGTAGGTACTCAAACTTCCCAAAATCAGTTTTTGCAGGGATAGTAGTCGAGATTTTTCGCTTTAATCTAAGTCTAAGTGGGAGGTTCTACAACCCTTTGTTTCTTTGCTAGAGTTTCTCAAATATTGAAAAAAACCCGATTTTTTGACACTTTGACCTCGTTTTTCTTAAAATCTGGGGCTGATGGAAATTTTACGTCGAAAATAGCGTTAACATTTGCTGCATCAAAGTTTTTTTTTATATATTTGCTGGCTTGTGTAATAAGTATTGCTAAATAGCCAACACCCGCATGTTTGCGGCGCTTTCAAAAACCTTTCGAACTGTAAAATAATGACTCAATTCTATTCTACGCATATCTATAATACGGGTATCGAATTTAAAGCAAATCGGGCCATAAATAAGATTTTTTGGTATAGATCGGCCCCTGGTCCACCTATCAGATAAAGTGTCCTATATTTTTATCCTGGCAATAAGCTACCTACATGCCTGGCCAACTTAACGGAAAAAATGAATCCTATATGCTAATCTAGGCGAAAGGCTACCTACGTACGTAGCTCTTAGCGTAGCTCAACCCCTGCGCCCCCTATCGGAAAATTAAAACTTTGTACACTTCTCCTTCTAACCACCTTTCCAAAAAAGCAGCAACCATTCGAATCGGTTATGAAACATAGGAGAAAATTGTTCCCAATTGATTCAACCTCACAATGAATTTCACAATTATCCGAAATTTTCCAAGCTTCACAACGAATTTTCCACCTTTACAAAATCATCAAATCCCAAATCATCAAATCATCCGACAAAATGCAAAATTTCGTCGTAAAAATGTTCAAATTTTTCGCGTCCTTGCGAATTTTTCCGAGTTTTCTAGTTAGAATTTTCTATTTTTCCATTCGAAAGCCATTCCGATAGAATTGCACAAAAAATTCCATACAAAAAAATAACTTTTAGATTTTTCCAATTTCCAACCTTCCCGGAAAGTTTTCTCAAAATTTTCTTTCGTAAAAACCTTCTCCTGGCAATTACGAACAACTAAACAAAAAATTTTGCCAAATCGCCCCAACCGTTCTCAATTGATGAATTACTATACATTTTTCACACCATTTTTATATATATAGATGAAAATATTTCATTTGAAGCAAGTGATGTAATATAAATAAATAAAACTAGTATTCTTCCAAGAAAAATTAAAAATAAAATATAAGAAAATCAGAATCTTTTAGCTATTAATCCTGTTATTAAACAAATTTGTAAAGTGTGAATTAATAGTATTAATCCTATAGCTAAAGGGTGATTTATTTGTATAAAAATAAATCTTGAAATTAAAGTTGATCTATATAAAATTAATTGTATAATATCAGGAGGTAGTTTATATAAAATATTAACTTTTCTCTTGAAGTTTTAAAAGATAAAATCTTATTTTTGTTTTACAAGACCAATGTTTTTATTAAACTATTAAAACTAATGTTAACAATATTTTATTGAGGATTACCTTGTTTTTTATATTTAATTGGAGTTTTTATATTGGTTTCTTATCGAAAGAATTTATTATCAATGCTTTTAACATTAGAATATATTGTATTAAATTTATTATTTATTTATTTAAATTTAATAAATGTTAGAAGATTTTTTAGTATGATATTATTAACTTTTAGAGTTTGTGAGGGTGCATTAGGTCTTTTAATTCTTGTTTCAATAATTTGTACTCATGGAAATGATTATTTTCAATCATTTAATGTTTTACAATGTTAAAATAAATTTTTATAATAATTTTTATTAGTCCAATTTGTTTTAATAATAGTTCATTTTGAAGGGTCAAAATTTAATATTTTTGGTTACATTGTTATTTATTATAATAAATTGTTGTACTAATATTTTGTATATATTTCTTATTTATTAGGATTTGATACAATTTCTTATGGATTAATTTTATTAAGATTTTGAATTTGTACTCTTATAACTACTGCTAGTGAATCTGTTAATAAATTTGATAATTAAAGGAATTTATTTTTATTTAATATTTTAATTTTCTTATTATTTGTAATTTTAAGATTTGCTAGTATAAATTTGTTTTTATTTAGAAGATTAATTCCTACTTTATTTTTAATTTTAGGATGAGGGTATCAACTTGAACGTTTACAAGCTGGTGTATGTTTATTATTTTATACTTTATTAGTTTCTTTACCAATATTAGTTGGTATTTTTTATTTATATAATAATATAATAACATTGAATTTTTTTCTTTTGAATAATTATTTATTTAATTATGACTTATTATATTTAACTGTAATTTTAGCATTTTTAGTCAAGATACCAATATTTTTAGTTCACTTATGACTACCTAAAGCTCATGTTGAAGCTCCAGTTTCTGGTTCTATAATTTTAGCAGGTA